AGGAGATCCCCGAGGTGCTGGTGGACCCGCGCAGCCGCCGGCGCTATGTGCGGGGCCGGTTCCTGGGCAAAGGCGGCTTCGCCAAATGCTTCGAGATCTCGGACGCCGACACCAAGGAGGTGTTCGCCGGCAAGATCGTGCCCAAGTCCCTGCTGCTCAAGCCGCACCAGAAGGAGAAGATGTCCATGGAGATCTCGATCCACCGCAGCCTGGCCCACCAGCACGTCGTGGGCTTCCACGGCTTCTTCGAGGACAGCGACTTCGTGTTCGTGGTCCTGGAGCTCTGCCGCCGCAGGGTAAGCCGGCCGGGGAGGGCGGCGCGGCCCGGGGGTGCCGGGAGGGCTCCGGGGAACGGGGTTGGGGGGAGCCGGCGGCCTCCGGACGTCCTGCGGCAGGTGTGCGTGGTGGGTGCGGGTGAAAATGCTAGCTGGTGCCGGGCGCCGGTGGCTGACGCCTGACAGCCTAGCTACTCAGGAGGCTGAGGTCGCAGGATCGCGGTTCCAAGCCAGCCCGGGCAGGAAAGTTCCAGGCGACCCTGATCTCCAATGAACCACCGGAAAACCGGAAGTGGCGCTGAGTAAAAGAGCTCAGGGACAGCGCCCAGGCCTTGAGTTCAAGCCCTGTGACCACAACAACAACAAAAAAAGAGAAAAATGCCAGTTAGCTAGAGCTCAGGAGCTGCTCAAAAAAAAAAAAAAATCCCACACATCTAGGGCTGACCCAGACCTAGATCATTCGGAGTGGGGCAGGGTCCTGGGTCCTGGAGGAGGTGACTGGAACCAGACCTTGGGGGCTTTCGGGAAGGAAGGGGTACGCTCGTAGGAGGAAGCCCGGGAGGGGGTGCTGAGACTCATTCCCAGCTTGCAGACAGGGCCGGGGAGGGTCCTAGAGAGAGCATTGGGAGAGGCCATGCCGAAAGAGAGAAAGCTGCTGCACCTCGTTCTGGGCCTTCTTTCCTTCGCTGCCCTTCTTGGGCCTCAATGCATCCCTCCTCCCCTTCCTGCGCACAGTCCCTTCTGGAGCTGCACAAGAGGAGGAAAGCACTGACAGAGCCCGAGGCCCGCTACTACCTGCGTCAGATCGTCCTTGGCTGCCAGTATTTGCACCGCAACCGGGTCATTCACAGGGACCTGAAGCTGGGCAACCTCTTTTTGAACGAGGATCTGGAAGTGAAGATAGGTGAGATGTCAAACGCAAAGCTCGGCTGGAGCGCCTTTAAACCCTGGACAGCTGGATAGAAAGCTTGATTGACAGGGACTTGGATGTACTGCAGGGTATCCTGGGAAAGCAGCCCTAACTTGGGGATGCGGGCCCCTGGAAAAGGAGAGTCGTTCTGAGTTTTTGGCTCCAGTAAGCCGGGAAAACCACAGAGTTCACTTGTACCTCCTTCAGGAAACTTCTACTAGCCTGATCTTAACCTCTTTCTGGAATGTAAACTTTTTAAGCCCAGGCACCTGGCAGAGGCAGCTGGCAGCTCAGGAGAACACTGGTTCTGCCAAGCCAGTCAGGAAGCACGGAGCAGGAAATAGGAAGGAGAGAGGGAGGAGAGAATGGTGGAAGTCTAGGCCTGTGTTTTCTTTTGAAAGTTCCTTTTGAGGTAGTTTACTTTTAGGGGAGGGGGATTCCAGAAGTATGCTAGGAAACCTGGACCCTCAGTCATTTTCCAGTTTTGAAATTGCAAGGCTTGATGTAGTTTGTACTGGGAGTTCCTTTTAGATTAGAGAAGGCTGGGCAGGGCCAGTGTCTCCCCAGGGAGTCTCTGCTGCATTGAAAAGTGGCTGTGAGCTGGGCATGTTGGTGCAAGCCTGTAATTCCACCCACCCAAGAGGCAGAGTTCATTGCAAGCGCTGTATTCCGTCCTGTCCCTTTTAGATTCCCTCTGGCTTGCTACAATTCCTACTACTCTAATCATGTCTTTGCCAAATAGCAATCTTAAAAACCGTTAGTTTAGGCTAGGTGCTGGTGGCTCATGCTTGTAATTCTAGCTACTCAGGAGGCTGAGATCTGAGGATCAGGGTTCAAAACCAGCTCAGGCAGGAAAATCGGAAGTAAAAAAGCCAGTGGAGCTGTGGCTCAAGTGGTAGAGCACTATCTTTGAGTACAAAGGCTCCCAAGCTCTGAGTTCAAGACCCAGAACAGCATCAAAAACAAAACAAAAACATTAATTTCATAGACTAGAGGGTTACATTATGACATTTTCACTTGCACTTTAATTATTCACACATATCTTAACAGTATTTCTGCTTTCTTTGGATACCTTCCTTTAGAAGCTTGGTGAGGGGGATCCTTGGTAGGCTGTCCCCAGGCCAGCACTTTGGGCAGATTTCTGGACATCTCCTGTGGCATGCAGGGAGCAGAGGACTCTAGGGCTATATGCTCCAGCTGTCTGCAGTGACAGGTGACAAGCAGCCATCTCAGTAATCCCTTCCTTCCCTCTGTCCTAGGGGACTTTGGTCTGGCAACCAGAGTGGAATATGACGGAGAGAGGAAGAAGACCCTGTGTGGGACTCCAAACTACATAGCTCCTGAGGTGCTGAGCAAGAAAGGGCACAGTTTCGAGGTGGACGTGTGGTCCATTGGGTGCATCATGTAAGTGGAGGTGTCTCAGGTCTTGTTGGGCTTCTGTGGGGCTCCTGAACATAAGGCATTTGGCTGAGCTTATCCTAGAAATCATTGTGGAAAGGTGGTTCCCAAGGACAGGCTGCTCCCAGCAAAAGCCTCATTTCCACATTCTTCCCTTAACATTCTGGTACAGCTGGACAGCAGACCAGGGAAGGGAACCCAAGGCCTCCCCAACACTGCCCCATACCCTCCCCACATCATCTCCTGGGAACTTGTTAGGAATACATAATCCCAGGAACCCTACTCTTTTTGGATTCAAATCAGAATTCAATAAGATCGCTAGAAGAGTCCTTCTGTATAATAAAGAGAATTGATGGGCAAAATTGAATCAGGAGATGCCGAGGTGCTGATGGCTCATCCCTATAGTCCTAGCTACTCAGGAGGCTGAGATCTGAGGATCGCAGTTCAATCCCAGCCTGAGTAGCAAAGTCTAAGTACTTTATCTCCAATAAAGTACTCCGAAAAAGCTAGAAGTGGCACTGGCTTAAGTGGTAAGAGTGCTAGCCTTGAAGTGGGGGAAGGGGGAAGAAAGAAAGAAATTGAGCCAGGAGTTAGGCTGGTGGGGGAGGTGAGCACCAGCATATCTCTAGACCAGCAAAGGGTGTGGCAACTGGCCGACACCAGGGCCTGATCTGAGCGTTGTGTCAGCCTGCGTACCAAGGCAAGACACGGGCTGGAACAATGGCTTCCATACATTCTTTGCAGTGGAACTTTCTTCCAAATGAAAGACTACAAGTCTGGCCTGGGATTGTGGCTTAGTGGTAGAACACTTGCCTAGCATGCATGAATCCCTGGGTTCAATTCCTCAGTGCCACATACACAGAAAAAGCCAGAAGTGGCTCTGTGGCTCAAGTGGTAGAGTGCTAGTCTTGAGCAAAAGAAGCTCGGGGACAGTGCCCAGGTTCCTAGTTCAAGCATCAAAAACAACAGAAAAAAACAAAACTATAAGCCTTAATACAGAACAACACTGAGCACTCACTGCGGCCCAAATGGATAGCCAGCAGCTCCGAGGTCTTTGCACAATGTCTCCTAGCCCTTGCAGGCTAGAGCTGGACAGTTCCTGGCCCACTGGAGTTCAAGGCTCACTGGCCTCCTCCCAATGGCTCAGGCCTGCTAAACAGAAGGGAGTTTGTCCTTGGAGGCCTCTTAGTCGGTGACTATCCAAGGCTGCCCCGTTCCTCTGGCCCAGGTGAGTTCTTTGAGTTTTGGCAAGAATCTTGAGCTATATCTCACTGTGTGCCTCTAGGTATACCTTGCTAGTGGGCAAGCCACCTTTTGAGACTTCTTGCCTGAAAGAGACCTACCTCCGGATCAAGAAGAATGAGTACAGTATTCCCAAGGTATCTAAGATTATATCCCCAACCCCTCCCCTTCGGCTACTTGCTGAGCTTAGCATACCCTGGGGTTGGAGCCTCGAAAGCTTTGGATGCAGCAGAGAGGAAATGGGAGAAAATGGAAGTAAAAGTGCTCAAGCCTTGAAATTTCCCTGGCCACTCTGCAGGTCATGTGGGACAGATGGCTTCTGTGGTGAGTGGCCATCTAGAGGAAGGGACTCCTTGTCTGTGTAGTCATTTGCACAGGGGGTAAGCCACTGCGAAAGGCCACTTTGGTCTCTTTGACTTGTGGGAAGCCAAGCATCCTGTCTCCACAGAGGCAGGTGCAGTGAATGTGTGGCTAATGGGCCAGGTGCCCTTGGCTCAGCACCTGCAATCCCAGCTACTCAGGAGGCAGAGATGAGAGTATTGAGATTGGAGGCCAACCTGGGAAGAAATTCCATGAGACTCCTCCCATTTCCAATTAACCAGCAAAATGCTGAAATGGAGGTTCCAGCGGTGGAAAAAGTTATGAGCAACAGGAGCCCTGAGTTCAAGGCCTGATACTGACACACACGCGCACGCACACACACACACACACACACACACACAAAATGTGTCATGAGTAAATACTATTCCACTACTTTCTGGATGAGTGTTGTAAGAAAGAAAAAAAACTCCCAAGTTAATCTTGACTGTTAGGAAAAGGAAATGCCCCCCTCACTCTCCCTTCCTCCCTTTCCCTCCCTCTCCATCCCACTCCCTCTCTCCCCCCCCCCGCCATAAGGCTTGAACTCAGGGCCTGGGTGCTATCTCTATCCTCTTTTTTGTTTTGTTTTTGTCGGTCGTGGGGCCTGAACTCTGGGCCTGGACGCCATCCCTGAGCTCTTCAGCTCAAGGCTAGCGCTCTACCACTTGAGCCACAGCACCACTTCCGGCTTTTTCTGCTTATGTGGTGCTGAGGAATCGAACCCAGGGCCTCATGCATGCAAGGAAAGCATTCTTACCAATGAGCCACCTTCCCAGCCCCAAATTTGATATATATATATATATTTTTTTTTTGAGTCTAGTCGTGGGGCCTGAACTCTGGGCCTGGGTGCTGTCCCTCAGCTCTTCAACTCAAGGCTAGCGCTCTACCACTTGAGCCACAGCGCCACTTCTGGCTTTTTTCTTTTTGCTTATGTGGTGCTGAGGAATCGAACCCAGGGCCTCAGGCATGCAAGGCAAGCGCTCTACCACTGAGCCACCTTCCCAGCCCCTTATCCCTATCCTCTTGCTCAAGGCTAGCACTCCTTTGAACCACAGCTCCACTTCCAGTTTTCTGGTGGTTTATTGGAGATGAGTCTCATGGACTTTTCTGCCTGGGCCGGCTTTGAACTACAATCCCTCCTGAATAGCTAGGATTACAGACATGAGTTGCCAGTGCCTGGTGGAAAAGGTCTTTTCCCAGCATTTAGCATGACACTTGTCCCTTCCATAAAGCCAGTTGCTGTTGCTATGGTGCCGAGCTGTGAGGCAGTGGAGACCAGGCTGCTGGCTCCAGTAGGGGGCGCTGCAGTAGTATGCTCTGGTCCCCACTGTGCTTAAGGCTGCCCTTCCCCACTGCAGCACATCGGCCCTGTGGCTGCCTCACTCATCCAGAGGATGCTGCAGACAGACCCCACTGCCCGCCCCACCATTCACGAGCTGCTGGATGACGAGTTCTTCACCTCCGGTTACATCCCTCCCCGCCTGCCCATCACCTGCCTCACCATTGCACCCAGATTTTCCATCGCTCCCAGCAGCCTGGACCCCAACATCCGGAAGCCTCTCACGGTGCTCAATAAAGGTAAAGCATGGATGTGCATAAAATGCCAGAGCCTGACAGGTCATGCTTGAGGTGTGCTCCAGCCACGGAGATGGGTATAGAGTGGAACCTTGAATTCTAATAGGATGAATTCTGGTCCCCAGGCTCTTTCTCCCTTGTCCTTTAGGAAAAACAGTCTTCTGTCCAGATAACCCACTGGGCCAAGAAGTGGAAAGTGGATTGAATGTTAAACCTGAAAACTCTTTTTTTGTTGTTGCTGTTGGTCATGGGGCTTGAACTCAGGGTATTGTCTGTTAGCTCTTCAGCTTAAGATAAGTGCTCTACCACTTGAGCCACAGCTCCACTTCCAGTTTTCTGGTGGTTAATTGGAGATGAGTCTCATGGACTTTCCTGCCCAGGCTGGCTTTGAACCATGATCCTCAGATCTCAGCCTCCTGAGTAGCTAGGATTACAGGTGTGAGCCACTGATGCCTGGCCCCTTTTTGATTAGTTTTGACATTGGAGCTACTGGTCATGCCTATAATCCCAGCTACTCAGGAGGCTGAGATCTAAGGTTACACCTTTCAAAACCAGCCTGGAGAGAAAAGTCTGAGACTTAACCAGGAAAATAAAACAACCAGAAGTGGAGCTATAGCTCAACTGGAAGAGTACCATCCTGGAATGAAGAAGCTAAAGGACAGTGCCCAGGCCCTGAGTTCAAGCCCCAGGACTAGGGAAAAAATTCTTGCTATCAGGCCTCATCACAGGAAAATGGAAAATTCTGGCCACACACAATATAATATATAACAGTCCTTTTCTTCCTCCCTCCTCTCCCAAAGCAGATTCAATAATTACCAAGGGATGTGTGTGTGTGTGTATGTCCTGAGATTTGAACTCAGGGCTTGGGTGCTGTTGGTCTGCCTTTCAAGCAGCCTCTCCACTTAAACCTTTTTTGGTGTTCAACTGGAGATATGATGATTCTTGGAGACTTTCCTGCCCTGCTGACTTCAAATCACCATCCTCAGGTCTCAGCCTCTTGAGTAGTTAGAATTACAGGGTTAGCCACTAGCACGCACAATGTATTTTTTGTAGAGAGTTTTAAAAATTAATTTCAGCAATTGACCATTTGATTCTTTTAAGCTGTAGTGGACTTTTTTTTTTTTGGTCAGTCCTGGGTCTTGAACTCAGGGCCTGGGCACTGTCCCTGAGCTTCTTTTGCTCAAGGCTACCACTCTACCACTTGTGCCACATTGCCACTTCTGGTTTTTTCTGTGTATGTGGTACTGAGGAATTGAACCCAGGGCTTCATGCATGCTAGGCAAGCGCAGTACCACTAAGCCACCTTCCTAGTCCAAGTGGACATTTTCTTATGACACTAAAATGAAGTGCCCCTGGTTAGTTTGTCTTTCTGGATCTTGTCAGAGGACAGAGTTAGGAAATATATGTTTGAGGATGATCTTGTAATTCTGATATTTCTGATACATATTGCAGTTTGTTGGACTTGCTATGCAGACAATCCTTCATATTTTGCTCTTCCTGCTATATAGACAAGATGATAAGATATGTATAACTGCAACCAGTGGCCTCTTGAATTTTTTTTGGTCAGGCGGGCCTCACGTTGAGATCCTCCTGATCTCAGCCTTCAAACTAGTTAAGATTACAAACCTCAGCCACCATCCCTGTTCATATTGTTTAAATATTTTTATATTAATCCAAGTTTCTGGAAAGGAAGAACAGACAGAAAACTTCACCTTCTTTTTCAAATCTACTTTACCCAATCTTTCTCTCTGTCTCTCCTCTTTTTTTTTGTCAGTTGTGGGGCTTGAATTCTGGGCCTGGGCGCTGTCCCTCAGCTCTTCAGCTCAAGGCTGTTGCTCTACCACTTGAACCACAGCACCACTTGCTGATTTCTGGTAGTTAATCGGAGATAAGAGTTTCATGGACTTTGCTTGCCCAGGCCCCCTTTTGATTGCCCAGGCCACGATTCTCAGATCTCAGCCTCCTGAGTAGCTAGGATTACAGGCGTGAGCCACTAGCGCCTGGCTATCTGTCTCTTCATTTAAGAGTAGGTTGAAAACATTTTGTTCTTTATCCTTAACTTATACTTCAATGAATATTTCCTAAAAACAAGATTTCTGAACCCATAGTACACAGAGACACCATTGTCAGTTTGAGGTGCCTGACATTGATCTGATTGTCTTAAAGCAATAGAAAAACTATGGTTTTCTCTACTATAGGATTAATGCTATTCTTTTGGTTTTTTAATTAGCATGTGGTTAGTTGTGATGTTTCCACAGATGTACACAACTCATCCTTTACTGCACGCTTCCTTTCAGCGGATTTCATTGTTCTATTTTTCTGTATGCCAATAAACTATACCCACAATGTTTGTCCTCATTCACCTTTGCGAGTCCTCCCACTGGTACTGGGGTTTGAACTTGGAGCCTGAGCACTGTCTCTTAGCTTTTTTCACACAAGGCTGGGTGCTCTACCACTTGAGCCATACCTCCACTTCTGGCTTTTTGCTGGCTAATTGGAGGTAAGAGTCTTGAGGACTGTCTGCCTAGACTGACTTTGAGTCATGATCCTCAGATGTCATCCTCCTGAGTAGCTAGGATTATAAATGTGACCCACTGGCTCCCAGCTTTTCATTGCTTTTTTTTTTTTTTTTTGGTCAGTCCTGAGGCTTGAACTCTGGGCCTGAGCACTGTCCCTGAGCTACTTTTGCTCAAGGCTAGCACTCTACCATTTGAGCCACAGCACCACTTCCAGTTTTCTGGTGGTTTATTGGAGATTATTCCACCTGGCTTTGAACCTCCATCCTCATATCTTAGCCTCCTGAGTAGCTAGAATTACAGGGGTGAGCCAGTGGTGCCGTGTTCAGATTCATTTTTGTTTTGTTTTGTTTTGGGCCTGGACCCTGTCCCTCAGCTCTTAAGCTCAAGGTGAGCACTCTACCACTTGATAACACACCTGACATGACACACTCTGGCCCTTACTTTGACCTGCTGAGTTTTTTCCACTAACACCTCTTGTTATAGGCAAGGGTCCCATTCAGGGCCCCACAGGGCATTTTAGTTAATTGTGTCTCCTTATTCTCTTCCAGTCTTCTCCGTGATGTGTCTGCTTTTTTTTTTTCTTTAATGCAAGAATGCTGTAGAACTAACATGTCAACGATAAAGATTAAAGTACCTCACTGAATCCACGTTCCATAGTAGGGTGAATAATACTGATGTATTGGTTTCATGTGTTTAAATTCACTAAAATGATCCTGTGAATTTTTCCAGATTGCTGCAGAAGCAAGCTGGGGGTTGTGACTCACTGTCATCTCAGATGCTCAGGAAACTGAGCCCTGGAAGTTCATGGTGGCTCAAAGCTAGCCCAGGCAGGAAAGTTCGAGACTGTTGGCCTTTGTGTACAGTATTACTGTTTTCTTTTCCCCCTAGTGCTGGAGAATGAACATGGAGCCTCACTAGTGATTTTTCCGTTTCTTGCTCCTATGTTTCAGTTCAGTGGAATTTTTCCATAATGAAGAATTGTCCCTTTGCTACCATGCATTTGGTGTTTCATAGCAGCAATGGACTTACAGATTTTGACTTTCACTATTTGGGCTATAATACGGTTATTTGTCTTTTTTGGGGCTGATCTTGGGACTTGAGCTCAGGGACTGGGTGCTGTCCCTAAGCTTTTTCACTCAAGGCTGGTACTCTATTACTTGAGCCAAAGCTCTTGGTTTTGGGTGGTTATCCTGCTTGGGCTGACTTTGAACTGTGACCATCAGATCTCAGCTTCCTGAGCTGAACATGGAACATTTTTATTTATTTATATGTTTTTTGTTGGTCATGGGATCTGAACTCTGGGCCTGGTGCTGTCCCTCAGCTCTTCAGCTCAAGGCTAGTGTTCTACTGCTTGAGCCATAGCTCCACTTCCAGCTTTTTTCTGCTTATGTGGTGCTGAGGAATTGAACCCAGGGCCTCATGTATGCAAGGCAAGCGCTCTACCACTGGGCTACCTTCCCAGCCTGGAAGATTTTTAAAAAGCAAGAACAAAACAAAAGCTTTGTTATAGGAACTTTTCAAATCTACTTAAAGAGTACTGGGCAATGACTCTCCCAGGAATTTCCCATCTACTTTTAGTACTTAGTAGCCTTTGGCTAGGTGCTGGGATTACAGGCATGCATCATCATTCCCTGCTCCCTGCACATATTTATTTATGTATGTATATTTATTTATTAGTTTGTACCATCCTAGGGCTTGAACTCAGGACCTGAGAACTGTCCTTGATTTTTTTTTTTTTTTTTCCTGAAGGCTACCACTCTACCACTTGACCCTCAGCTCCACTTTCAGTTCTTCGGTACTTTATTGGAGATAAAAGTCTCACAGGCTGGCATTGAACCATGATCCTCAGATCTTACCTTCCTGAGAAGCCAGGATTACAGGCGTGAGCCACCAGCACCCGGCTTGAAATAAATTTTTTTATACAAAGAACATGTTGGTGGAAGAAAGGCTAATCATGTAAACACAAAGACAAAATCCTTTCATTCTAATGTCCATGGTTTCAATGCCTAACCTTTTAGATCGTGGCTATATATAAGCACATAAAGCAATTTGTAGGGTGGAAAAGTCTTAGGATTTTATTTAAAGGTCTGTGGACTTTGTCTCATTGATCTGTGTTGCTATTCCCTGGGATCCTGGACCCTGTTTGCATGCATGCTGATGTTCTTTAACTTTTGCTTGAATTAGAACAGTTTTTTGTTTGTTTTTTGGGTCCGGTCGTGGGGCCTGAACTCTGGGCCTGGGCGCTGTCCCTCAGCTCTTCAGCTCAAGGCTAGCACTCTACCACTGGAGCCACAGTGCCACTTCCAGCTTTTTCTGCTTATGTGGTGCTGAGGAAT